ATGAAGATTCACAATTCATGCTACCTACTATACCGAAACTCTTCAGACAACCCTCACTTGAGAGCTGTTGAGCCAAGGTGACTTTTTTCTCCTATCGATTTTAGTGGCAAAATTCTCATTCAGTGAATGCTGAAAATTCTTGTCTTATAGAGCACTTGGTAGGAATGGAAACACAAAGTCTTTTACTGTGAAAATGTAGTTTCTGCAAAGCGGATATGTGTGCAGATGCCTTTCTCATTACAATACATGCTCTGAACAGCTGTTCCTAAGAGTTTGCTTTTGTTAACAGTCTTAATGTTCCTTGCTCAGAACAGCTCAACTTGCAACCTTAATTATTCTCTCCTGGAGAGCTGTTTCCCATCCTTTTGCAGTCTAAACTCTCAGCCTCTGGCATAAGGGCTGCTGGAATCCCCTTGGAGCTCCTATACCAGGACCAAAGTCTGGTTGCAAGGTAGGGTTGCAAGGAGGCAGTGTGATTCTGTTTTCTGGCAGAGAAGATAACAATTTCAGGCTGTTGTTTGACAGTCTTAATTGAAGAGCATGTGAATGTTTTCACACATTAAACTTTAGGAGGTCTTCTCTCTCTGAGCAATAAACCCTTTTTCAACAAAAAAATGAAAAAAGAAGGTGGCCAGACTTAGTGCTCTGGGAGTGTTATTTACAGTTTGAGCACTCTTGAAGTCTTTATGTAAAAACACTAAAATAAAGTCCTCATAAATTGTCCAGTATTTGTAAACTGTGCACTAACACAAGCTGCAGTAGGTTTTGTGGGTGCTGGATACATTTAAAAACAGTACGGTCATTTAAATATGTACAACCATGTTTGATGACTTATGGCAACAAAATAAGGTCTGAGTTTATACACTTGCATGGTCCTACCTAGTCAGATATAGTCCTCAAGTAATCCTAGTGGATATAATTTAACTTAAAAATAGCATTCAACCCTATAATTTCTCTGCTGGCAGCTAAGCAGCCAGTGCCACACAATACCCTACATGTTCCTTTAACTTATTTTCTTAATTAAAGTTGATGAGGCACTAAACAGTTGTTGCCTAAGATAGCTGGAAATAACATTTGTATATGTAACAGCATAGAATAAATGATCTCTAATTTAGTTACTGATAGAATAGGGTGTGTAATATCTGCAAGGGGCTTTGCTGAAATGCAGGTTTCTACCAGCTGTAGGTGTACGTTGATCTTTTCATATCAGAAAGCAATCAGCCACATCCAAAAGCCTTACCTCAGTGTATTTTGAAGTCACATCAATTTAAAGATTTTAGTCCATTATCTATATTACATCAAGCTTTCTGTTTCCTGGTCATTTCTGATCTTGTTGCTCTAGTTCAGAGCTTGTGAGCCATCATCGTCATTCTGCTTTCTGACTTACCCAGTCCCAGTGGGACAGCTGTAATTTTCACATTTTATGAAAGGAGACTGTTGAACCATAACTTTTTTCTTGATGTGGAAGTTGGTGGAGTGCAGTGGGTGGGAATACAGACAGAAATCAAACCTTTAATGAGAACATTTTTAAACATTCTAATTCAGAATGTGGATCAAGCCAAGTTCTCCCAAGAAGAAGCTGTTTGAATTTGCTGTAACTAGTGATGGCTCTGCTATAGATTTCACTTTGTGAGTTGGGCATATTTGTGAGTGTTTTAGTATTAAAGCCAATCTGCACAGCCTAATAGGAAAGGTATAATTAAAATTAATTTGATACAAATTTTATCAATTTTTAAAGCAACCCTGTCAACTGAGTTTTCATGAATGTGATTGTAAGAAAGTCTTATCTTTTTGCCAGTGATCTGAGTTATTTTTATGGTAGTTATTATTGTAGTTCACATTGTCATGACCTGGTGACGTGTTTCCTGGTTCTCATCCTGTAGGATATGATGATTTTTCTTTAGATGAGACTTTTAAAATATTTATTTTGTAACACTACATCACAGTACTGAAGAAGGAGAGGAGAAATTGTTTGCCCTTTAAGAGTAAAAGAAATTGTTTTCTACAAGTCTAACAGTTTTAGCTGAACTGTTTGGCTACCTTGCCAAAAATGTGTTATCATCAATGGTTTCTTCTCTCAGTTTTGATTTTATTTATGTCATGTACGTATTGCTATACATAGGTTTCAATTTACAGAAATAGGTAGACATAAACAGAATTTCAATAGCACCTTGTTTTAAAAGAACGTATAGCTTATTTGTTTGAATTGGGTCCAAGAAAAGCAGCAAGCCAGTGATGCCTAGTACCTCTTTGCACTTGGAGGCCATTTGAAAGAAGGTGAAGCTACTATAAAAATTAGGTATTATTTATGAAATGTAAGTGGCATGATTGAAGATACATCATCTATGGAGAAGGAGTAATCTTCATTACTGAGCAGAAGGAAAACACAGCCAGTCCATTAAGTTTCCAATGTTTCTTGCAGTCTTTTACTAGTATTAATCTCTGTATTCCATAATCATCCTAAGTATCTCTGTCATTATCCACACACTGCAATGTTCTTCTGTAGCTGTTTTATGCTCATATTATGCTGAAATACAATCTTAATAGTCCTTTTTAAGCTCTTTTCCTTAGATACTTTTTTCAGAATGTGATTGTTTGCTAGTTCTTATATTTCTGTATTTTCTTAAAATGGACTGAATAAGTCAGAAAGTTTCCCCTTCCTGAGAGTTCTGGGCATCTATTTTTGTGTGCTTTGTTTGGCTGTACGAGTCTGCTGCCTCTTAATGTGGAAAATGATTATCAGATTACCTTTAATTTTGGTTGATGCATTTCTGCCAGGCAGAAGTAATGATCACTGTAATAGTTTTGTTTTCCAAACTTACTTGTACTGTTTTCACTTCTACTATCAAAGGCAGCACATTAAATACTTTACATTGGGGTGTTACATATGAGTAAGGGCATTTAATTGTTTATTTTAGGCTCAGCCATGACTTTCATCCATGACTTTCATCCATGACTTTCATCCATGAATTTCTGCACATAATACAAACTTTTTCTGCAACAAAAGCAATTCTAGAGGGTCAATTCAGACTGCATATTAAAATTAGTGCTAGTGTTGGGATCAATGTGCTATAAAATTCTGCTTGCAAAGCTGCCTGTTTTAATTCAAGGGAAGCGAGAAGCATGAACATTAAGTTCTCAGGTCATCATGACAGAAAAATACATTTTCTTAAATCCTCTTGCTCCTTTGGATCACAAAGCAGTGTAAAGACTTCATTGTATCTTTCTGTGATTTTCTTATTCAAAAAAGGTGGAGTATGTCTACATGCTTTGCCATTCACACATTCATGGTGGTTCTATTTTCAACTCAAATTTTTAAAATTATCAACAGATGTGCCGATTCTTTTGCCTGAAACAGAGAACAAATTTTTCTACTGTGTTTTGAATAAAGATTTTTAAACTTTTATGGGTTATTGATCCCTGAGTGCTAGTTCTTGTTACCAGCCTTCATTGTAAACAGTACCTTACACCACATAAATCTTACTGAAGCCAGTGGGGAATAATCCTGGTATTAGGGTGTAAGTATGAGAAGGGAAAGCAGAACATATTTGGAGCGACTATAAAATGCAGCTTCCAGAGCTAGATCCCAATAAGGTGTATTATCCCAATATTGCATATCCCAACCTGTTTAGGTATGTTTTGTTAGTGTATTGTCCCCAGTTTCACCAAATGGCAAAGCAAGTAGCACAGTAATAATTGTATGCAATAAGTGTTCACAATCATCGAATCATACAATAGTTAGGGTTGGAAGGGACCTTAGGATCATCTAGTTCCAACCCCCCTGCCATGGGCTGGGACACCTCACATTAGGCCGTGTCACCCAAGGCTCTGTCCATAATTAGCATATGCTTTGTGCATAGTTGGCATAAAACATCAAAACCTCTTGCCCAGCAGAACACCCAGGAAACTTCATAGCTTTTGTGCACAATGGATTTGTGCGTCTCAATAGCTCTGAAGCAGGAAGGAATGATTGTGAGTAGGACAGAAAAAGGAATCTACAGGGGAAAAAAAAAAAGGAAAAAGAGAAAAAATTCCAATTTAAGGAATATCATTTTGAAACTAAATTGCAACCATGAGGTTGAATTAGACATGCAGCTATTTTTCATGCAGTTTGAGTGTGAGATTCAGCCCCTTTTCTGCTCCTGGATTCTCTTCATTACTGTAATGTATTTAAGTGAAAGTCTCATCCTTTCTCCTTGGTTATTTATTGACATATATGTGCTCATGATACACAGATGCTGGTGTAATCTTTCATTTTCCTTAGCCGTTGATTTTTTTTGTTAATGATAATACCATTGTATTATTTTTAATGCAACTGTATTATAATACGGTTTATTATTTTTATTTCTTACTCATCATCTTTTAATCAGAACTATCAACAATACAGACAACAATACAATATCAATTATGATAGTGATTTTTAAGCAGTTTTGAAGGCCAAATAGGTCTTGACCTTCTGGTGCACAAAAGGAAACAACCACCATGTTGAAAATATAAAAGGGAGGAGCCAATCATTTTTGTAGGTAGAACATCTACTTTACTTAAAAGGGCAGGAAAAATGTTCATTAATATGTAATTAAAAGAAGCCTGAATTTTTTTCTTTCAAGAGTACTGACACTATTCAAGGTATGTTTAGAGGCCAATATGAAACAAGGATGAAAGAAATAAGGACACAAATTACGGTTTGCTGTTGTGAAAATACTTCTTGCTCACACTATTTCACATTTGAAATTTTCAAAGTTTGTTTTTGCGTAGCAACTTTTTAAGTTTTCTTGAAAAATTACACAGCTCAAACATTCAGACTTTAGAGAAGTGAAATTAAACAAAATTAATTTGTGAGATAAATCTTTTTTCAAAACTGATTTCCCCAAATTTGTAATCTGGCTGCTTTAAGACCCTTGGGCTGACTTGCTGTATTTGTCTAAACAGGAGTTAAATAAATGAAAATTGTCTGTCTTTTGATGGTTCTGAAGTAGTTCCTTTTTGTTTTCCTGAGGCAGGAGAAAATATGTCACTTGGATGTCAGGAAGCTTTTGAAGTTTTCAAGCGGGACCATGCTGACAGTGTAACCACTGAGGACAACAAACAGCTTCTAAAACAGAGGTGAGTGTTACAGCAAGATACTGCTAGAGGCAAACATCTGAGAGTATGGTATAAGTCTGGGTAGGAATGCATGAGTATTTTTACACCAGCTATTCCACGCTTCTATTGATAACTTGGTACTGAGTGGTGGCAGAATAAAAAGTCTGAATAGAATACGAAAGTGGCGTAAGGAATCTTAGTGCCTGTTTCCTCTGGTTTTATTCATCTTATCTTCATAACCATGTTGAAGCAATGTGGTAATGGCATTCATGATCATGAATTATCTAAAGGAAGTAAGATCCATGTGACTGAATCAATTACTGCACTTTCCATTGTCAAAAATGCTTTACTGGCTTCAGCACTGAGTTGGACTGTAAGCTACAAGATGTTTAACATATGCTTTTGTCTGTTGTTCCTAACTTGTTTGCCAAGTGATTTCAGCTTCTCTCTGTTAGTTTTGTGCTCAAAACCAGAAATAATACCTTCCACCTCCACATTTATTATAAATAGTGAGCAAACACTTCAGAATCTTCCAGATGAGATTATGAAAATGGCAAAACATTGAAAACATAAATTTCCATGAAGTGGACTTTAAACATCTCAGAAATTAAACCACCAACACTTCTCCATGTTGATTGAATAACTCTTTTGGTGTCAGTTTTTCTAGTGTTAACTATCCTTGTACTGCATGAGAAATACAAGGTTGTGAGAGTGGAGATGCCAAAAGCAGATCTCTCAATCTACACTTGTAACTAAAATTTACCCTAATGGTTGGGGTTTTTTTTAGATTCCTTGTTTTCTTTTTTTGTTTTTCTGTCCTGGGTTTTTCTCCAAGTTTCTACTACTTTCTTTTGCTTTCTTAACACAGTTTTCCTACTTAATGGGCACAAAATACATTACTTTCAAGGTCGCTGAGTTTTATGCTTATTTACTTCAATAAAATTGAGGCAAGAAATGATCTCCACATCTTTGCGACTTACTCAAGATCTTGCTACATCTCACTTTTCTGAACCAGTTAACTGTCTAACTGGGTCTTTAACATAGCCATAGGGACACCAATTGTGAACTTATTGGATGTGGGTAAGAATTTATCCAAATAAATTGAATGTTTAGTAATGCCTTTCTTCTGATCAATAGGTCAGATGATCATCACTGAATAAATGATTGCACTGCAGTCTTTTCTGGCATTGCTGTCTATGGAGCAGAACACTTCATGGTCACAGCATGATAATGGGAGCAATACAGTTCTGAGCCATGTCCTGCATATCCTCTAGTTAATCACAATTCTTCCATATTTTGTCTGTCTGTTATTACTATGAAGCAAACCAGTATTTCCTTCTGGTTTCAGAACATGTAATACAGATGGGCAGAACACACAAAGTGTCATGCCAGATTTGCTTTCTCTAAAGAACAAAGAGATTCAGGCTAATGCCTTGGGTAACCCCTCTGTAAAATACATCAGCTGGTTGCTGAAATCAGTGCTAACATGAATGTTGATACCCTGGTGGAATACAGCTTTCCTCTGCTATTTACAGTCATTTTTAGCAAAGATGCCTATATGTCCAAGTTTACTGAGTTCATTAGAATGGATTTATATCAAGTCCAGTCTGTAATTTGGAATGCAGCCTCTGAACTACCAGTTACACAAAAGCTCTGTTACCCAGCCAGTGTTCAAATTGCACAGGAAGAAGTGTGTGGACACCACATGTTTAAAGGTTACCATAACGTTCCTTTATATGTAGGCCTCTTATGTTAATAATTTTGTTTATAGTTGCATAACCACTTCTGTCATACCACAAACAGTTTTTGGTTCACAAATTGCTTATTTTTAGCTGTCTTATTTTTTCCTTTGGGTATTTTGGGTAGATTTTCTTGGCTTGCTATTTATCATAAGATCATAGAAGAGTTGAGTTGAAAGGGACCTTTAAAAGTCATCTAGTCCAACCCCCTAGCTATGAGAAGGGACACCTTCCACTAGATCAGGTTTCTCAGAGCCCTGTCCAACCTGGCCTTGAATATTTGCAAGAACTGGGTCATTTACCTCTCTGAGCAACCTGTTCCACTCTTTCACCACCCTCATTGTAAAAAATTTCATTGTATCTGATCTGAATCTCCTCTCTTTTAGTTTAAAACCATTGCCTCTTGTCCTATCACAACAGGCCCTGCCAAAAAGTTTGTTCTCATCTTTCTTACAAGCCCTCTTTAAATACTGAAAGGCCACAATAAGATCTCCCTGGAGCTATCTCTTCTCCAGGCTGAGCAACCCTGACTCTCTCAGCCTGTCTTCAAAGGAAAGGCGATCCAGCCCTCTCATCATCTTCATGCCTCTGCTCTGGGCTTGCTCCAGCAGGTACACATCCTTCTTATGTTGTGGGCCTCAGAGCTGAAAGCAGTGCTTCAGCTGGGGTCTCGTGAAACTAGAGTAGAGGGACAGAATCTCCTCCTTCAACCTGCTGGTGACCCTTAATTCCTTTGAGGTACACTGGTGCTTCCCTCTTGGCTCCTAATACCTCAGGAGCCCCAGCTCATCTCTGTAAGACTTCTAGTATGCATTATATCATTCTTATTATATACTGAACTGCCAGTGAGCCTCTTCAACATCCAGACTTGCTTGGGCTGTGACATTATTCATATAGATGTGAATATACATAGTCATCTATATGCAGTATACTTTTTTTCCTGTAACTGCCTATGTATAATGGGTTAATTGAATCAAATACTGAAATGCATTTGTCTTATTTTAAAAAACATATCTAAGAGAAATACTGGTTTTGACATTGAACTTTTCACCTGCTACTTCAGAGCTCTTTATAGGGGCAATACCTCAGTACTGTAACTTAGTACCATCTCTCGCTTTCAAAAGTGGAGAAGCTTATATAGTTAAGGATAGTTTCTCTCTGAAGCTCATTTACTGACTTAATGTTTGAGTGAAAGACAGTAGATTCAAGTTATGCCATTAGGACAGTTGCCTATGAGAAGTGTCTTTGTAAGGTGATCTACAGCTGAGTTTTCAGTTAATACATAGCAAGTCTGTTTCATTTTTCTTCTGTACATTAAAAACTGCTGACCTCCTTAAAAAAATAAAAAAAATTATTTATGCTCAGACAGAATCAGATTTCTGTGATTTGGACTTCCTGTACTTGACTTCCAGAGAACTTAATCATATCCTGTTTCTCAGCTCAGTTGTGCTCTCTTAGCATTATTTGTTTGAGGATAAAAATGCATCTCATTTTCTGGTTGAAATCTACCAAGAAATCTTCCCAGCTGAGCCACTCTGATCTAATATTGCACACTTCATGAAGCTTTTAAATCCCATCCTAGTCCGTATTTCCAGTAGTAAAATGCTACTGAACTTACAGATCTGATGTAAATTTAGTTTCCTTTTTGTTGTTCTCCATTGATTTCTTTCAGTTTATTCTTTCCTTGCTTTCTGTGATTCAGCTGGCTAGCAGCTAACTTATTTTTTTGAGGACCTATGGATGAGTTTCATAGAAAGGATGAGTCTCAGGTCACTAGTTATGATTACTAATAATTAAAACTGAGTGAATATTCATCTACTTCACTACATGTCTGCGGTCTCTCAGCCTCTGAGTTAGTCTTGGTTTATAGTATATGTTAGAGATTTTTTTTCAAAATATTTTTTTCTAATTACTTGCATTTCCATTCAGAATGAAATCTTTGCAAAACCACCACATTAGTGGCTAAATTCATTCTGGGGTTTCATCGTGGAATATTTATCTTGTAGGTAATACACATGAACTCTTTTCAGATAACAGTATAATTGCTCAGTCATCACTATTTGTAGCAATATCACCTTTATGCTAGATAATATCACCTTTTTATTAGAGTGTCAGAAATAGTTTTTTCTCTTTCAATATTAGTATCAAATCTTAAGTGTTTATCTGGTTTATTTTGTTTGTGATTCATAGTCACAGATGAAATTTGTTGGGCTGTCATAAATTAATGCCAAATTTTAGTTTCTTTTATTGTGCTAGTTTATAAACCATGATATTTGACAAACAGATGCATGGCCAGTTCAACTTTTAGCAGTAATCTATGAATAAGGGCTGGATAGGTAGCTGGCTTCAACTTGTCTAGTTAAATATCTCTGCAAACACAAATCATAGTCAATAGTCAGCAGCAGATCTGCCTCAGGAATTACTAAGTAATTGATGAACGTAGTATTTGGTTCATGGGAGCTGAAAGAAAGAAAGAGAGAGATGCTTTGGGCTGTTTCCCTTTGATCTTTACACAGTCGTCAAGGCCTACTTGGGTGCTCTAAGTTAACACCAGTGAAAAAGACTTGCTTAAAAGTCTCACAGATGCTTCAGAGGCTTCTGCCTTTATGTGAGAAACGTAAGTACTGAGGAACCCTTTAGCTTCAGCCATTTAGCCATGTCGAATTCAGCCTTTAAAGCAAATGTTCATGAGCAGATGCAAATATGGGCACTTGAAATTCTAGCTTGTTCCAGTTTTACAGGAAAATGGACAAACTGAGAAGTGCCACCTTTCCAAACTCCATCTCTCCAGGGAAAAGTTGTATTTCTATACTGTGTTTTGTCATAATTTGAGTAAGGCAGAAATACAGGTTTTTATTTCCTCAGTTATTTTGGCTAGAATAAGACTCTTCCAGATCAGATGAAGGTTTGCTTAACAACCAAGTATTACAGCTCTGCCTCAAAATTCAGCAGTTTCACAGTATCACAGTATGTTAGAGATTGGAAGGGACCTCGAAAGATCATCTAGTCCAATCCCCCTGCCGGAGCAGGAACACCTAGATAATGTTACACAGGAATGTGTCCAGGTGGGTTTTGAATGTCTCCAGAGAAGGAGACTCCACAACCTCCCTGGGCAGCCTGTTCCAGTGTTCCGTCACCCTCACTGAGAAGAAGTTTCTTCTCAAGTTTAAGTGGAACCTCTTGTGTTCCAGTTTGTACCCATTACCCCTTGTCCTATCATTGTTTGCCACTGAGTAGAGCCTGGCTCCATCCTCGTGACACTCCCCTTTTATATATTTATAGACACTTATAAGGTCACCCCTCAGTCTCCTCTTCTCCAAACTACAGAGACCCAGCTCCCTCAGTCTTTCCTCATAAAGGAGATGCTCCACTCCCTTAATCATCTTCGTTGCCCTGCGCTGGACTCTCTCCAGCAGGTCCCTGTCCCTCTTGAACTGAGGGGCCCAGAACTGGACACAATATTCCAGATGGGGTCTCACCAGGGCAGAGTAGAGGGGAAGGAGGACCTCTCTCGACCTACTAACCACTGCCCTTCTAATACACCCCAGGATGCCATTGGCCTTCTTGGCCACAAGGGCAGTGTTGGCTCATGGTCATCCTGTTGTCCACTAGGACCCCTAGGTCCCTCTCCCCTACACTGCTCTCTAACAGGTCATTTCCCAACCTATACTGGAACCTGGGGTTGTTCCTGCCCAGATGCAGGACTCTACACTTTCCCTTGTTATAGTTCATCAAGTTATTCCCTGCCCAACTCTCCAGCCTGTCCAGGTCTCGCTGGATGGCAGCACAGCCTTCTGGCATGTCAGCCACTCCTCCCAGCTTAGTGTCATCAGCAAACTTGCTGATAGTACACTCAATTCCCTCATCTAAATCGTTGATGAATATATTAAATAATACTGGTCCCAGTACTGACCCTTGAGGCACTCCACTAGTTACAGGCCTCCAACTAGACCCAGCCCCATAGACTACAACTCTCTGGCTTCTCTCCTTCAGCCAGTTCGCAGTCCACCTACTACCTGATAATCCAGTCCACACTTCCTCAATTTAGCTGTGAGGATGCTGTGGGAGACTGTGTCAAATGCTTTGCTGAAGTCAAGGTAGACCACATCGACCGCTCTGCCATCATCCGTCCACCGTGTTATTTCCTCATAAAAGGCTAAGAGATTGGTCAAACATGATTTCCCCCTGGTGAAGCCATGTTGACTGCCCCTCATAACCCTCTTATCCTTGATATGCCTTAAGATGGCACCAAGGATAAGGTGTTCCATCACTTTCCCAGGGATGGAGGTGAGGCTGACCGGTCTATAGTTACCCCGGTCCTCCTTCTTGCCCTTTTTGAAGACCGGAGTGACATTTGCTTTCCTCCAGTCCTCAGGCACCTCTCCCGTTTCCCAAGACTTGGTAAAGATGATGGAGAGTGGTCTAGCAATGACTTCCGCCAGTTCCCTCAGCACCCGCGGGTGCATCCCATCTGGACCCATGGATTTATGGATGTCCAGATTGCTCAACTGGTCTCTAACCCATTCCTCATCGACTAAGGCAAACCGCTCCGTCGACCTGACTTCATCTGAGGTCTCAGGGGTACAGGGCTCTTCAGGACTGCCTGCAGCAGAGTAGACAGAGACAAAGAAGGCATTCAGTAACTCTGCCATCTCTGTATCTTCTGTCACCAGGGCACCCATCCCGTTCATCAGTGGGCCTACATTGCCCCTGGTGTTAGTTTTGTCTGCCATGTATTTGAAAAAGCTCTTTTTGCTGTCCTTGACCCTTCTCGCCAGGTTTAATTCTGAGGAGGCCTTAGTCATCCTAGCTGCCTTCCTGCATCCTCTAGCAGCAGCCTTATATTCCTCCCAAGTGGCCAGCCCCTCCTTCCATGACCTGTAAACTCTCCTCTTCCACTTGAGCATACCCAGCAATTCCCTATTTAGCCACGCAGGTCTCCTGGCCCTCTTCCTTGACTTCCTACATATCGGGATGCTCCTATCTTGAGCTCGGAAAAAGCAATCCTTGAATGTCAACCAACTATCTTGGGCCCCTTTACCTTCAAGCAGCCTTGCCCATGGGATTTCCCCTAGCAATTGCTTGAAAAGGCCAAAGTTTGCCCTGCTAAAGTCCAGGGTTGCAATTCTACTTGCTATTCTACTAGTCCTACCACACAAGATCCTGAACTCCACCATCTCGTGGTCGCTGCAACCAAGGCAGCCCTCAACCCTTACTGCTTCAACCAGATCCTCCTTGTTAGTGAGGATGAGATCCAGCAGCGCTCCTCTCCTGGTTGGCTCATCCACCATTTGCAGGAGGAAGTTATCATCCATACACTGGAGGAACCTCCTGGACTGTGGCTGGGTTGCCGAGTGGTCCTTCCAGCAAACATCAGGGAAGTTAAAATCCCCCACGACGACCACGGCCTGTGACTGTGAGGCCGCTCTCAGCTGCCTGTAGAAGGCCTCGTCAACTTCCTCACCCTGATCTGGTGATCTGTAACAGACACCTACAACAGTATCGCCCCTGCCAGCCTGCCCCTTAATTCTCACCCACAGACTCTCAACTCGCTCGTCATCTGTCCCTGGACAGAAGTCAGTGCATTGTAGTTCCTCCCGCACATAAAGAGCAACCCCACCACCCCACCTGGCTGGCCTGTCTTTCCTGAAAAGGACATAGCCCTCCATGACTATATTCCAGTCATGTGAGCTGTCCCACCACGTCTCTGTAATTGCCACCAGATCATAATCTCCTGACTTAACGCAGGTTTCCAACTCCTCCTGATTATTTCCCATGCTGCGCGCATTGGTGTACAGACATTCCAGGGAGCGAGCTGAGCACACCGATTTCACCCTAGGATTATAGGAGGCCTCCCAGTCTTCATTAATTCTGGAGCGCTGCCCCACTGGGGCAAGCCCAGCTACAACCCCATCCCCCTTCGAATCTAGTTTAAAGCTCTCCAAATGAGCCCTGCTAATTCGTGCCCCAGCATCCTTTTGCCTCTGTGAGACAAACCTTTCTCACTTGTCATTGTCCAGACTGGTGCCCTATAAAACCAGCTGTTATCAAAGAATCCAAAGCCTTGCCTGTAGCACCAGTCTCAAAGCCAATTGTTTATGAACTGAATCTTCCCATTCCTTCCCACATCATCAGTGGAAGATGGAAGGAGTGAGGAGAAGATCACTTGAGCCCCAGACTCTTTCACCATCCGCCCCAAGGCCCTGTAGTCTTTCTTCATCCCCCTCAGACTGCGGGAAGCAGCTTCCTCCCCACCTGTCTGGAAGACCAGCAGCGGGTAGTAGTCTGTCGGGTGCACCAGGCTGGGGAGCGCCCTGGTGATATCCCTGATCCGGGCTCCAGGCAGACTACACACTTCCCTATGATAAGGGTCAACTCTGCATATCGGGCCCTCTGTTCCTCTCAGAAGGGAATCCCCTACTACAATGACCCTTCTTTCTTTCTTATCAGAGGCAGTCTTGAGGTGCAAAGTCGACCCCCTTTTCCTATGTGGCCTTGTGGGCTGGCCTTGCCCCACATTCTCACCTACCTCTCCTTCAAGATCCAGGGCCTCGAACCTATTACGGAGGGACACCTGGGGAAGCAGGGCAGGCAGGGGGGAGGGTTTCCCATGATGCTGAACTGGAACTCGCTTCCAACCCTCGTCGTCTTTTTGGTCCCCTACCTCTGCGCAACAGTTACAGGGCAGGGGCTGTCTCGGGCCATCCCCCTCTGTGTGAGAAGGCAGGGGGTCCTTCCCCTTTTGGGGGGTATCTCCCTGGAACCGTTCCGACTGGCACACCAGGGAGTTACTCCACCAGTTGATCTCCCTTTCACACTCCCTGATGATCCTCAGCATCTCAACCTCCTCCTTAAGTCTTGCCACCAGGCTAAGCAGATCTTCTACCTGCTCACACCTCACGCAGGTGTAATGCTGTCCTCCCTCCCCCGGCAGCAGCAGGCTCTGGCACTCCCTGCATCCAGAGACCTGAACAGCCACGGTTTGGGACGGGGTCTCTGTCTGAGTTAATTTCATGTCATAGACAGATAAGGACTATCTATAGAAAAACAGAATAATGTAGTTTTGTCACACTTTTGTATATTTCTGTTTGAGAAGTTTCTTAATGACTGAGACGCACATTGTCACGCAGCACAAACAGTGATCATCAGCAATATGCAAGTTACAGGCTGAAATTTAAAAACTCTTGGTAAGCAGAAGTTCTAATACTTTCAAAAGTTTTGTTTTAACTTGGCTTGGCTTTATTTTTGTTTTACTTTTATATAGCTGTACGTTAACACATTGCAAGCAATGTGGCATATTAAAATTAATATTTTAGTGTAATGTGAATATTTAAGAGAATCCATTTGTTAGAATTGAAATAAGATAATTTTTAAAACTTAAAAACTCAAATAAGTTTGTTTTGTCTATCTAGTATACCTATTTGTTGGATGGTTTCTTTCAGAAATACTTTATTTTAGACCAAACAACCTTTTCTGATGGATTTTTTTTTTTGCATTTATTTCTACTTACAAATCAAAAAGTACTCCTGAGTAATTCTGTATTTTATAGTGAGCAACCAGTTTGACTCGTTGTTCTTTAGAGCGATTCTGTATCATTATGCTTGCATTGACAGGTTTGCTGAAGCTAAATGCCTTGGAGAAAAATTGAATGAAGTAAGAAATAAAATAAGTGAGTACATTTTAACTTCAGTTTACCTTGTAGCTGATGAAATCATGACATCCAGAGGATATGGGAAGAGATTATAGTTTCTAAGAGAAAAGAGTCAATCTATTACTAAGGTTTCTAATAAGCTAAATTGTTAGCTGATGGTAGCAGTAATCATTTTATGTACCAGTTTTGATTGTTTTAAATACCATAATGTGAAAATTAGCTCCCTTGTTTACTTGACAGGATCTCTGAAATCTATCAAAAAGAGAAGTTAAGCTATTAATACTGGGTTTTCTGAATTTTATTTTGGGAAAAAAAGGATTCAAAAGCATAATTTTAAATTGTGATATCTAGGGATTAAGGATTGTATTTATCTATAAATTTATATAGCTTCTGATAAAGAAGATTTCATTGTTGAATTATTGAATTGCTTCTCTGTACTTTCTTTGCATGTATTAATTAGAAAAAATCTGAGTGCCTTAGCTTGCTGGTTTTTTTTTCATTTTTTGCTTTAATGCCCAAACAGCACATGCTTGCTTTCCAGTTTCAGATTGTTCAGAGCCAAAAATCTCCTATATATACATGCAACCCCAAGCTAGGTCTTATCTGATCTTTCTAGCAGCATTTTATATATTCCTCATGGATTTCTTGAATTCTGTTGATTCGAAGCCTGTAGCTTCTTTCCTAGAAATTGGCTATACAGGTTCTCTATCAGATGTGAAATGCAGTTTTGTTTTCTATTGCTGAAGTCCATGGAGATCAGATCCTCCTGTATGCACACATTCAGGTGAACCAAGTCTCTTCAAGCTTCCAGATACAGGCTGCAAGGTACTAGATTCAAAGTTAATCTGGCATCCTGGTCCAGTGGTCTAGACCTTGCTTTATTTTCTCTCTTCTTCCTCTTTGTGTGGCACCAGCATGGACAATGAACTCATTTTCATCAGTTCTTGTTTTATAGCATGAGCTGACTTCTGAAAAGGACAAAAGTCTCATGGCACTCCTGACAAATGCCCTGTACTTTCACCATAGCCATGATTATATTCTCTGTGGTTATGAATGGTAGCTACTGCCAGATTCCCCTCCCAGACACCTTTGGGTACACCACAAGTTGCTTGGAGATATTATACACTATATTTAAAGTTATGTCAGCTACGCGGAAACCCTCAGACATGTTGGCACAGTGTTTTTAAACCACAGCACAAAGAATGTTTGGAAGGGATCCAGAACCAGAGACATTAGGTTCTGAGCCTTTCTGCAGCAGTGTTCTGAACACTGGGTTATTTCTGTTAAGACATGACACTTGAATCAAAATTGACTTCTCTCAGTTGGCTCATTTGTCTCCTTCAGATTGGTCAGAACATAAAATGTCAGTACAGAACTTGCACATGGATCTGCGCAGGTTGGCCCATGCTGGAAGAATTTCAGTATTCTCCTTGCAGCTATGGGTCTCTCCAGATTCCATGTGAGCTCACTTAAATCCTGCTAAGTAGGCTTTTTCCCCTGGTAAACTTGGAAAAGCAGTTTAAACCTACTGTGGAGAACAATGGCAAGTGACAGGAAGCATCTCCAAGGTGAATAATGCTCACAGCTTTTGGACAGCTCTCTGCACAGGTGAGCATGAGCCATCATATCAGGATATAACTTCTTTTACTCTGCTGCCATCTTGAAGTCCACATTGTCCTGATTTCCTTACTATCTCCTAGATTTACCCATCTGTGATAAGTCTAAATGAGGTAGAGCCAAAGTCGACACTGAGTCTCAAATTTCTTTCCTTGCTGAAGTTAAAATCCATTTTGGAGCAGGCACAGAGAACACCAGCAATAAGCAGCTATACGCAAGCACATCTTTCTCAGTGCCTGGGGCTGTGACTGTACTACTTGAAGAGCAAAGCCTTACATACACCTACTATAAGTTGCAAATATCTTAGGGGGAGAATTGACATTTGGAGGGTGTGGGAGAACGTACAAGAAGTGGTGGCACACATGCCAGTCCTGAAGGTACCATTTGTAATGTCATGCTGTGACAAGGTTTGCGTGTCCCTTAAGATTTGCTGGAGTCTACTGTGCCAGCTCTCAGAAATAATGTAACAAAGCAATGTAGAGTAGCCCCTCAAGGCTGTTTCCATGGATCCCAGCAAAATCTAAAATAAGTCCTTTGTTTGCACTGAATCGCTGTGAATTTTGCCCCAGTAACTCGGACAAAAGTTATGATAGTTATAGTGCAGTAGAGTATGGGTTTTGCTACAATTGAAAGCTTCTGGTTTAAAATTTTTAGTTAAGTTCTTCAGTGTTAGAAATGAAAAAGTGAAGTATATCTGGGGATCATGAAAAATGCAAAAATCTGAGCACATATTCATATGTGCATGTAACCTAAAAACCCAAACTGATCCTTGAACAAAACAAGCAGGTGTATAACAAATCAGTAGTAGGGCACTGAACTTGACAATGCTTATATGCTTCTTATAGAAAATTGTAATAGCTTGTAGTCCACGTGAATGTTGAAAAGCTGCTTTAAGAAAATGTAGGCCACATGAATGCTGAAAAACTGCTTTTCTTTTTTTTTAAGCTGCCATTGTTCTAAAAAAAAAAAAAAAATTACACAAAATTACACATTTTGGGTTTAGTGTGATGTGTAAAGAGCAGTTACAAGTGTTTTCAAATTGAAAATTCTCATATTTAACCTTCTTTTGATCATAGTTGTTAATAAATCTACCTGTTAGCCCGTCTCTAACAGTTATTAAGTCTTTGCATCCAGTATGACGCTTTCTGGCTTATTCAATACAATTACACTAGTTTATATAGTTTAGCAGCCTGAAATGATTTTTCAGTTTTCACTAAAGTTTATCTTATCATAGCACACATACTCAGAATACCATTAAAGATGCTAAGTAAGGTTACTAACCTGCCAAATTTTTACTGAAAATGTGGTTGGAGAAATGAGAGTCATCTGCAGCCTGCAACTAGATCTTTCATTCAGTTTTACTGTTGTTTTGGTTTCCCTAAGCATTTCTGGCTGCCTTCTTGTGCACAATCAAGAACAGATCCCATCAATATCACTTTCTGTTATTTCTAAGCTACCCTTAATAGTATAAAACTATGCACCACAGAGGCCATAGAGCTCATTTCACAGAGTCTGATTATATTTTGCAATAGTAACATCACAGTTGGCTGTAACTTTCATGTCATAAATACCCTTCCGTTACGATTTCAGAAATGTTAGTCTTTTGCAGTGAAAAATATACACAAAATATTCCAACCACTTCTCAATTACACTAGCATTTCAAAAACATCAGGAAGTTAGGGCTGGACAAAGGAATTTGCAGTAAGATTTTCATGGTAGGATTTTGCTGATGTTATTATTTGCATAAAAAGATTAAGAAAAACAATGTCATGATGTAAGCTGGAGTTTAAGTGTAGAGTAACTATAATATCAGAAATGAGACATTTTGGTTAACATACCTCTTTGCTGCTATACCATATATTCCTGGATTCTGTCTCCTTTTATGTTTAATAACACTGCAGAGAATGCAGAGATTTTTAAATTCTTTTTATGGAAAATAATGGGTATGTCTTAGTTTTTTCATTATGTTTATTTTTAATAATGATGTCCTAGAAATAAGAAGGTGAATTTTATTGTAGGATGAAATTGTCTTTTTTTTGACACTGAAAAAAATGAAGAAGACAGATGTGTTTTTAAGCCAGGTCATATAGTGATCCTGTTTGCTGTGTTACCACACAAACCTCTACATAGGCACAAGTAAAGGAGCAGAGGGCTCTGGTGCAAGCACTGAGGGGCACTTCTTTCTGAAAGTCAATATACTGCATAAATACACCATCAAAAGGCAGGGAAACCGTGGATTTTAAACATGTAGACATGTCCGGGTTGGTTTGAGTTTGGGCTGCTCAGAATTGTTTCTATATGACTGGAAAATGCACCCAAGGACTAGACTTTAAAAAACAAATACAGAAAACTGACAGTAAAACTGGAAAAGTATAACTTTCAGGTCAAGGAACTAATGAGAATTCTGTAGCCAGCATAGAAGTGGAAAGTGGACTGGCACTGACATACAAGTAAATTTTTGCATTTTTAGTCCATCATTAAAACTGTATTTCACTGTGTATTTCACTGGGTAAGAAAAATGTTATTTTCTTGTGAAAAAACTCTCTGTGCCACTGCAAGTGTTACTGTATTTTATCATTTCCAAAGAGTTAGGGTCTCTGAGAGGAATGTTGTATCCTTTTGGTATAATTGAAGAAGACTTAAGGAAGAAAATCTGACACTGAAGCCAAGGATTTGTTTTCAGAATAGTGATGTATAGAATTTCTTCTTGCAATAAATTGAGTAATTGTGGCTAGCACATTGTGATTGGTTGACCTCAGCTGCCTGCCAGGCGCCTATCCAGCTGCTTTCTTCTGTTCCTCAGCAGAAGAAGGGGAGAAGGAAAGAAAAAGCTCATGGGTTGAGATAAGGATGGGGAGATCAATTGCCAATTACCATCACAGGCAAAACAAAATCAAGTTGGAGAAAATCAATTTAATTTGCTGCCAATTGAAATAGAGCTAGATGGTGAGAAACAAAGACAAAACCTCTGAAGTCAAAACTTCTCTCCTTATCAGGGTTAGCGGGAATTTTATTTCCAGAACGCTGTTACCAGCAATTTAGTTTTACACCATTACCAAGAACATTCAGTGTGAAAGGATTCTGACAGTAAGGAGAATAAGCCTACACCTGAACAAATTGCAAAGCATTAAATAACAACAAAAAGGCCCAACTGCTACTAAATTGAGCACACAACAAGTTAAGGTTGGGGGAATTAATAATACTGTTTTCAGTGTAAATTAATCTGATATATTCAGTCAGCAAGTAGTTGCTAAAGAAGTTGCCTGTATAAAAAAATGTGCTGTGTGTTAGATGCATTTAAGGTTAGTAAAGATTTCCACTTCATCCCTATAAATGCCTGTTTATTTTGAGGTATTTATGCCACTATTAAGTTTAGGTTTTTTTCCTAAAGGACAAAGAAA